ACTCCAATGTAACCCTCAAGCTCTCTTTCCTGAATGTGGGTTTCTGCAGGGCTCACCTCTCCTGCCATTAGTTAATGGGTATTCATCAGGTGGGCATGCATCCTCTCCAGGCCAATAGAAGGCAGTCGGCAGGGACACACACAGCTCCTCCCATCAGTGCCCTAAGCACAATCATCCTGGCCTCCAGAACTTGGCTGGGACCTGGGGCCATGTGTATCTTGAGGGGGTACCTCACAGGAGAGCCTTTGTACCCTCTCAGCACATAAAAAGCTTCAGTCCTCAAGCCACATACCCAAGACCACTCCAATGGTGCCCTCAGCATTAATGGGAGGAGCTGCATGTCCACACCTACTGGTCATAGGAAAGCCAGTGTGACAGTGCCAAACCAGAACTCTAATGTACCCACAAGGCTCTCTTCCCCAAACATGGGCTTCTGCAGGGCACTCCTCCTCCTGCCATTGGCCAATGGGGATACAACAGGTGGGCATGCATGCTTCCCAGGCCAATAGAAAGCAGTGGTATGATGACACAGATCTCTCATTAGAGCCATGGGTGCCATGATTCTGGCCTTGAGAACTTGGCTGATGCCTAGGGCACTGTGTCTTTAAAGGGTACTTCACAGGAGAGCCCCCACACTCACTCAGGACACATAAAACTCCGGACCCCAAGCCACATTCCCGAGGGTACCCCGATGGTGCCAGGAGCATTATCGGGAGGAATCTTGTGTGTCTACACTCACTGCCCTCTACTGGTTATAGGAAAGCCAGCATGACAGTGCCAGTCCAGAACTCCAACGTACCCATGATGCGTTCCTCCCCCAACACCAGCTTCTGTGGTGTCTGTCTTTCTGCCATCAGCCAATGGGAATTCAGCATGTGGGCATGCATACTCCACAGGCCAATAGAGGACAGTGGGCATGGAAACACAGTTCATCCCATCAGTGCTTTGGGCATGACGATCCTGGCCTAGAGCATTTGACTGAGGGCTGGGGCATGGGGCCTAGAGCCCTGTGTATCCTGAGGGTGTACCTCACAGGAGAGCCCCTGTTCCCTCTCAGTACACATTAAGCCACAGTTACCAAGCTACACTCCCAAGGCCACCCCCATGGTGCCCTCAGCATTGATAAGAGAAGCCACTGCCCCTTCCGGGCCATAGAAAAACTACCAACCCAGAACTTCAATATACCCATGATGCACTCCTCCCTGAACACGGGATTTTGAGGGCCTGTCCTCCTGCCATCAGCCAATGGGCCTACCCTCCTGCCATCAACCAATAGGGATTCAGCACGTGGACATGCATGCTCCCCAGGCCAATAGAAATCAGTGGGCAGAGGGATACACAGCTCCTCCCATCGTGACCTGGGAGTCATTATCCTGGCCTAGAGAACTTAGCTGAGACTTGGGTCCTGGGGTGCAGTGTGTCCTGAGGGGGTACCTCAATGGAGAACTCCTGTACCCACTCTACACATAAACCCCCAGACCTCAAGCCACATTCTCGAGGCCACTCTAACGATGCCCTCTGTATTGATTAGAAGAGCCCTGCATGTCCAAATACACTGCCCTCTACTGGCCACAGGAAAGCCTCCATGGCAATGCCAACCCAGAACTCCGGTGTACCCATAATGCTCCCTTCCCAGAACATGGGCATCTCCAGAGCCCGCCCTTCCTGCTATCAGCCAATGAGAATGAAGCAGGTGGTCAGTCATGCTCCACAAGCCAATAGAAGGCAGCAGCCATGGAGACACACATCTCCTCTCATCACTGTCCTGGGCACCATGATCCTGGTCTTAAGGACTTGGCTGGGGTCTGGGGCAATATGTGTCCTGAGGGGACATCATGTGTCCTGAGGGGGCACCTCACAGGAAAGCCCCTATTCCTTCTCAACATACATAAAGTTACAGTCCCCAAGCCACATTCCTGTGACCACCCAAATGGTGACCTCAGCATTGATGGGAGGAGCTGTGTGTGGCCATACACACTGCCCCCTACTGTCCATAGGAAAGCCAGCATGACAGTGCTAACCCAGAACTCCAATGTACCCATGATGCTCTCTTCTCCTAACACGGACTTCTGCAGCGCCCGTTGCTCCTGCCATCAGCCAATTAGGATGCAGCAGGTAGTCACCCATGCTCCCCAGGCCAATAGAATGCAGTGGGTGTGGAAAAACACAGCTCCTCCCATCAGTGCCCTGAGCGCCATTTTCCTGGCCTTGAAAACTTGACTGAGGCATGGGGCGTGGTTCTAGGGCCCCGTGTGTCCTGAGGTGGTACCTTACAGTAAAGCCCCTGTTCCCTTTCAGTACATATAAAGCCCCAGTCCCCAATCCACATTCCAGAGGCCACAGCCGTGGTGCTGTAAGCATTGATGAGAAGAGTTGTGTGTGCCCATACCTATTGCCCCTTCCTGGCCATAGGAATGCCAGTATGACAGTGCCAACCCAGAACTCCAATATACCCATGATGCTCTCTTCCCTAGACACAGGCTTCTGCAGAGTTTCCCCCTCTGGGGAATCAGCCAATGGGGTTGTGGCAGGCAGTCATGAGTGCTCCCCCAGGCCAATAGAGTGCAGTGGACATGGAGACACAGCTCCTCCCATTAGTGTCCTTGGAGCCATTATCCTGGCCTCAAGAATTTGACTGAGGCCTGGGTCCTGGTGCTCTGTGTGTCCTGAGGGGGTTCCTCACAGGAGAGTCCCTGTACCTTCTCAGCACACATAAAGGCCAAGATCCTAAGCCACATTCCCGAGGCTACCCACATGGCACCCTCTGAATCAATGGAAGGAGCCCTGTGTTGCCACACCCCCCGCCCCTACTGGCCATAGGAAAGCCAGCATGACAGTGCCAACCCAGAAATCTAGTGTTCCCATGATGCTCTCCTCCCTGTTAAACACGGGCTTCTGCAGGGCCCACCCCTCCTGCCATCAGCCAATGGGGACTCAACACGTGAACATACATGCTTCTCAGGCCAATAGAAGGCTGTGGGCGTGGTGACACCTAACCCCTCCCTTTAATGCCTCAGGCGCCATTATCTTGGCGTCGATAAATTGACTTCCGACCGGTGACTTTGAATGTCCTGAGGCAGTACCAGGACCTTCTGTGAGTTTCCCCGCCGTAAAGCCCACTAGTGCTTGGGTCCTACTTGAAGGAGGCCAGTCTCTCACAAGAACTCCAGTCTGAGTTGTCCTGACTAATCAGGCCTTGTGCTTTCTGTCTCATGCAGTACCAAGGCATCACAGTGGTGACAAGGGCACCATGCTCAGGTTTCTGCGGTGGGCTATGGACTTCTTTCAGTGGAGGGCGGATCCCGTCCAGGAGCAACACCCACAGCAGGGAGCGCTCTTGCAAGGTATCCCTTGGTATATTTGGTATATTTCCTAGTCCTTCTGGAAAGGAGCCTCCCCATAGGGAAGGAGGGTTCCGTGGGATTAGGTAGTCTCCACACGTGTCGCGGAAGCTCCATTTTCTGGGGTGGGGGAGGGGGTGTGCATGAGGAGTTTTCAGGCTTCGAGTGCCAGGGAGCTGGATCAGCATGGATTCAAGCCTTGAATTTTCCCATGGATACAAACTGGGAAGGTGATGGCAGCAGTGCCCTCTGCGGCTCTTTTACTCATGCATTTTCCCACGTGCTTTTTGCAACTCCTGCCTTTTTTTTTTTTTTTTGAGGGGTTTTTTCTATAGGGTGTGTGTGCTCGCAAAGACAGAGAGACAGAAAGCGAGAAATCACCCCCCAGAGGGGTTGGCCACACCGGGATCCCTTCTCCTCCATTCTCCTCTCGGGATCCTGGGCACGCACGCACACGTGCCCAGCGTGAGTTTTAAGCCACCGGGTCCAGGACACGAACCACGGTTGACTATGTGGGAGTCCAACGACATAGCCATTACGCTAGCTGCTGGTCCCTCTCCTGCCTTTTTAATCTTTACAGTAGGTGAGAAACTCCCTAATTTGAGGGCTAATATGGTCTTCTATCCCTAACAGGCAACTTCCTGAAGCCCAATATTCAAGTCATATATCTGGAGTACAGGAACCATTGTGCAGGCAGACTGCTTCTATCAGATCCTACATATTACTTACCAATAGTTCTAGTACAGAACTTGAAAACAATACTGAGAAAAATTTATTTGTGGCTTTAGCTAAACTTCTATCTTCAAATAGCCTCTGTGCTCTGTTTGCTGAGATGTTTCAGAATATATAGATGTTGCTATTCATTATTTTGGTGAAAATTATGATGCTAGAAAATAGTGAAAACATGAAGACTCTACATATGCATGTATGATAACAACTAACCTTTATACCAGAAGTCCCCAACCTTTTTGGTACTAGGGACAAGTTTTGTGGAAGACAATTTTTCCATGGACAGGAGTGTGAGGGTGTTGAGAGGGTGGGGATATTAGTTTCAGGATCACTCAAGGGCATTACATTTATTGTGTACTTCATTTCTATTATTATTACATTGTAATATGTAATGAAATAATTACAAAACTGACCATAATGTAGTATTTGCAGCTGCTCCCCAATGCCAGCATCCCTGCCTCAGCTCCACTTCAGATTATGAAGCCTTAGATTCTCATAAAGTGCTTGCAACCTAGATCCCTCACATGTGCAGTTCATAGTAGGATTTGTACTCCTATGAGAATCTAATACTGAGGCAGAACTCAGGTAGTAATGAGACCAATGCGGAGCAGCTGTAAATACAGATGAAGTGTCGCTGGCTTGCCTGCCACCCACCTCATATTGACCCCTGCCTCCTACTCAAATTTGGCAAGGCACACACAGTTCTAAATAATTAGCATGTTAGTTAATAGTCACAGCAACCGTACTGGACAGAAATTGTTATTGTCCTAATTCAACAGGTAAAAATAAGATCAAAGGAGTTCAGAAATGTTCCCAGGGTTCCAAATGTGGTCAGAGTAGGAATTCTTGGATGTGGTTGTTTGCATGTCAAATTACTAATGTGACTTTTATTTACCTATCTTATAGGTTTTACCAATTTGAAAACTAAACGAGGAGTGTTGACCAACATCTATAGTAATTATGGCTTAATTAATAAGTCAATCTACTTCACTTATGATGTTGTCACTAGTGATACCCCTTTGAAAGTTGGACAGAAAGTTATGGTAGTTCTGGAAGAAGAAGAAACAGCTTTTGAATTGAAAGCAATCAAAGTAAGATGTGTGTGTGAGCATTTTCTCTCAATCTAGTAGGATTTCACTCTTTCTTTTCTTGTGTTAATCTAGCCTCTCTAATGTTGCCTCTAAAATAGACGTAGAGTAACATTGGAAGTTCCACTTCCCTGAGTGTGCAGTTCCTTTTGTGTCAATATTTGTAGTGATTATTCATTTTTTTTAGTTAATTATTTAATTTTATTTATTATTATTATTTTTAAATTTGCTAGGGCATGTGCTCTCACCGGAGAGAGATAGACAGGAGGAAAGAGAGAAAGCGAGCCACCAGATCTGGGACTCAAATTGTGGTTGAGCATGCGGGAGTCAACCACCACACCACCTGCTGGCCCCGTGATTATTCATTTAAAGAGAGACAATTAAGGGCCAGCAGGTGGCGCAGTGGTTAAGGTGATAGACTCTCACATGGCTGGCTGTAGTTCAAGTCCTGGAACTGGCAGCTCTCTCTCTCTCTCTCTGGGCAAATTAAATAATAATAAATAAAATAAAATTTTAAATTTTTTAAAATATTTTTTTAAAAAGAGATGATTATAGATCTGTTCAGTAAGTATCTAAATAATAGGGCTAACAATGATATGTTCTGGACTCTATTCCTGTTATCTGATAAGAATACATTTTCTGGAGGATGCGTTCATAGTAGTGGAATTGATGTGTCAATAGTGTGTATTTTAAACATTTTTGATATACCTTCTGGAGCTATAACAGAATTCTTTCAAGAATACAGTTAGTGACTTCTTGTAGATTTACAGAGTCCTATAAATATCATCTCAATCAAAATATTTGCCATTTCAATGATGATAATGAAAATGTACTTTAGAGTTCCTATATTGAAGGATTCTCTCAGAAGCTGTGAGACTGCCTGTTTTCAAATGCTGGTGAGGATAAGAATCTCTTTGCAAATATGAGAAGTGAAAAGTATCTTAGAATAATATTTTCATTTCATTAAAAGTTAATGAGAATGCAGCAATTTTGTTAGGACTTGTCAGACATGAGCACAAGTACAAAGTAAAGATTATAAAGAGGAAGGAACTTCTTAGTCCAATATAGCTATCACAACATAGGGGTCAGACCCTGGGGCATACACCCATTTCCTAGCAGCAGCAGACATTGAGAGAAGTGACAAACCAACCACTGCATCTGAGGAAACAGATATCTTTTTTATTTGCTATAGGGTGTGTGAGCTTGCCATAGAGAGACATAGAGAGAGAGAAAGTGAGAAGTCACTCCCCGGGGGATGATCACACATCATTCCTTCCTCCTCCATTCCTTCAGTATTTGAGGTAAGCACACATACAGTCCCTGTATGTTTTTTCAAGCTGCCAGGTCTGAAAAACCACATAGCCAGCCATTTGGGATCCAGCTTCCTTAACTACCATGCCACCTGGCTGGCCCTGTGAATTTCTCTTAATAACAAAAAGATCTGACAAGTAAGTTGTTTGGAAAGAGTTCACATTGGTTAAAGGCCACAGAGTAAGGTCTATGGGAAATGGAAAGTAGGACAGGACTGGGTCAAAGTAGAGGATATTTGGGGCAGTTTACTGGCAGGAAGATAATGGTCTCTTCTTCTTGGTGTCAGGAAGGTGTGTGCCCAGCCTTTTAGAGGGCTGCTGCAAGTGTTGATCATGAGAAAAGTGTGTCTGTGAAGGTCAGCCATGTAGACAACAGGAAGTAGCCAATAAGTAGAGTGCCAGTAACCCACTTTTCCCCTTCTGTAATATCTTTTGTCTTTACCTGATATAATTACATCTTTTCTAGATAAACCTTTTCTCACAGTACTATTTGATTTTTTCTTTTTAAGAGAGATTTTTGCTATAGGATGTGTGTACCAGAGAGACATAGAGAGACAGAGAGACAGAAAGTGAGAAATCACCCCCCAGGAGGGATGGCCATTCCACAGTCCATTCTCCATTTTTCTCTCAGGATCTTGGGCATGCACACACCCATGCCTAGCATGAGTTTTAGGCCTTTGGGTCCAGGACTCAAATAGCGGTTGACTCTATGGAAATCCAGTGACGTAACAATTATGCCATCTGCTGGTCCCATATTTGACTGTTTTTTTTTTTTAAACCCTTCTACATTTAAGTTACTTTTCCAACTTTTCTCTTAGTTCTCCCTCTGTGCCTGGATCTTGAATATTATGGCTTTGTTCCCTATTCCCTCAACTTCTGTTTGGTTTTCCTCTCTGTCTCCCTGCTTCTGCCCCCACCCCTACTCCATTTTCCAGGTAAATCTTTCTCTCCTCTTACAACCCAGCTTAAATCTTACTTCTTTCAAGTAATGCCCCTATTTTCTCCCAATCTGAAATTTTGTCATTCTTGAGAATTCAAAGAAACTAATTTTTAACTTGTTTTATACTCTCTATCACAAGTTGCTTAGACTAGATATATTTCCTTTTTACCTTCCTAAAATTGTGTATTCCTAGAGTAGAAGCATGACATAGTCTTTATCTTTGAGTGCAACCCTATGAGTGCAGTAAACTTTAGTGAGGAATTCAGGTTTCTGATGCACTTTACAATACATGAAGCACTGGCATTTTTATTGTCATCTCATATCTATAATCTATTTGTCAGGTCAAATATATTCACTGTAGCTCAAGATTGTGAAAATATTTCCTGAACACCAATGACATAAGCTCACAAGTGTACATTTTTTAAATTTTAGTTTTGTGAAAGTGACTGTTTCCTTATCCAACAGGTGGATGTGCTCTGTGATGGTATGGAGGACTCTGGACTATCAGACTTTGGAACCAGAGTTATAACTGGCTGTGTTACCTCTGTAAGCAGAGATGCTGTCTACGTTGATGAGAAAACTTCTTTCTCCCTAGATAGTGTTTCTGAAGGTATGATTTACATTTTTAGGAAAATTAATATGTATTTTTGAGATTTTTTTTGGTACTAGAAGTACTCTGTGATGGTATGGAGGACTCTGGACTATCAGACTTTGGAACCAGAGTTATAACTGGCTGTGTTACCTCTGTAAGCAGAGATGCTGTCTACGTTGATGAGAAAACTTCTTTCTCCCTAGATAGTGTTTCTGAAGGTATGATTTACATTTTTAGGAAAATTAATATGTATTTTTGAGATTTTTTTTGGTACTAGAAGTATTTCTGCAGTGTACTTGGCTACATTCAAGGATTTTTCAGTATGTCAGGTGGGCCCTTGGAATTTTAAAGAAACTACAATATAGGGACTAAGAAGCAAGTTTATAAAAACTCCTGCTATCACATTTTAGGTGTTAGTGTAATTAGTAATATCTTTGTAAACTTTTTATTCAAAGAAGTATCAAAATTCTAATTGATGAAAATTCCTAAAAGTCGACAGGCTACTATTTTCAACATACTTCATATGCTTCAAAATAAAGTTTGGAGATCACCTTGTAGCTTTCCATGTGTGTGTGTGTGTGTGTGTGTATGTGTGTGTGTGTGTGTGTGTGTGTCTGTATAATTTTGAATTCATTTTGCAAACAGCAGAAGATAAGTTCTAAGAATTTTTTTAAAACTCCAATCTGTACTGTGTTTATGGTATTTGATCCTAATCAGCCTCTCCAGACAGCTTGGTATTTTTCTTTTCTTGGATATAAAATCAGGACTTGACCTGCATTTTATTTTAAGATGTTCACTGTGCATGCTTTGTCGAGAAGAGATTATGTGGGGCAAGGATGGGGTGAGGAAACAAGTGCGGAGTATGCTTTAAAATTCCTGACCAGCGATGATGGAGATTTGGTGAGGTTGTAAAAGAGGACAGTCTAAGGATTGATTTGATTCTGGATATATTTTGTAGTTAGACATGAACACATTGGCTGATTTCCTATAGCTTTGGTGCGAAAGAATATATATTCAAAGGTAACTTTAATGTTTGTGTTTTAAGCGGTGATAGGGAGAGTTGTCAATTTGAGATGTGGCAGACTGAGATTAGGAAAATTTGGTGAATGAGAAGACACTATCAATAACTTGGCTTTAGATATTTTACAGTTCTATAGGCATGTGGACAATTGATTCCAAGGTTGCTTAGAGCTGGAGGTATGTACGTTTAAAGTCCCTTCCTATTTACTATTTCTACAGCTTCCACAATTAGTAATCAATATTTATTTCATGGTTAGTATGTGCCAGGCATTATTCCACCAGTTGTTAACATATCAATTAACTATCATAGCAACTCTATGTTAAGAGTGCTATTATTGTGCTTCTCATTTTATAGATGAAGAAACAGAGGCACTGAGAGGTTAATCTCTTTGAATAAAGTTACAAATGGAGAAAGTGCAAGTTACATTTTAGGAACAAAGGTAGCCAGGTTCAAACGATATCTCTTTCTGTGGATTGACTATTAGCCCAAGGAGCCTGTGAATGTGAGCAAGTGTTGACTACATCCTGTATTGCTCCCGAAAAGATGGACTGTGTTGTACCCCCATTTGACTTTGGACCATCAGTAGAGGAGAACCACTGCCTTGAGAATAATAAACTTCCTTTATGACAGAAAGATCTACAAGGCATCTGCATAAAGTACAGAATGTGTGTTAGTGCTAATGGAAGCCATTCAGGGTATTACAACATCCAGGTTCCTTCTGCAATTTAGCAGGACCTAAGGTAACATAATTGCATTAATATTTCTTCATGACCATTTCAGCCTTTATGCCTTACAAGGGTGACTGGATAGAAGTTGAGTACTCCATCGTGCCAGGTGCAAAAAACATCAAGGTGCACTCAGCAAAGCCCTTGTTCTGCAGACATCTGGAGGAGGTAATTTGTTCCTATATTGCACTTGTCTTTGGTTGCTTCTAATACCTCCTTTGGTGATAATCTTCATGGCTAGGATATTAGGCTAGGAAATCTATTAATAGAAAATATACATTTGTCAAAGGGAGCCAATTTCCTCATTGAAAAGACAAGACTTCCAAAATGAAGTAACTAGAAAAAAATAGAGACTATATGCCATTAAGTTCAACATTAGAAAGCTTATCTGGTAGTAGAGTGTTATTAAGAATTTCTGAGAACAACAAGAAGAAAAACAATTAGTGTGCAAAACAATTAGTTTGTCCAGTGAATGGACTGTGATGTGAAACTTGAGCTTACTGGTAAAAACTGAGTATGATTTCAGTAGTGTTGCCTGAGAATGAATAGGAAATTAAGTAAAGTAAAGGTTAAGGCCATTGTGGGTAAGATTCAAAGTAGGGTTTCTTTTTCTTTTTAAAGGTATTCGCCATAGGGCGCATGTCCTCACTGGAGAAAGAGAGACAGAAAGACAGAAAGCAAGAAATCATCCCCAGGGGTGGTGGTGGGGTGGGGGGATGGCCACACTGTAACCCCTTCTCCTCTCAAGTTTTTACGCACACATGCACACACACCTGGCATGAGTTTCAAGCTGCTGAATCCAGAACTCAAACTATGGTCAGCCATGTAGGAATCCAGTGATGTAACCACTATGCCATCTGCTGGCCCCCAGAGTAGGGTTTCTTATTAACACCCTGGGCCCCTTCCCAAAGGTTCTGATTTGATTGGTTTGAGGTACAGTCAAGGTACAGGTATTTTTACTAGGCATGCCTAGTGTTGGTGTTGACAGCCTGCCAGCCAGTCTGGGACTCACTGATGGAGACACAGCGATCTGCAGGTTAGAGCCCAAGCAAGGAAGTACAGAACCTGATATAGGGCAGTGTGGTCATAATAATCATTTCCATCATTCTTCATTGCAGGTCTGCATCACCAGCCTACATGGAAGAAATGGGGTGGTAAATGGTATTATCTTCTTCACCTTGGATTCTCTGGAACTTCCAGATGGATACAAACCCCAGAAACATGATATTGTCAATGTTGATGCAGTGGAGAGTGTTCAGTCATGCTACATTTGGAGAGCAGTTTCTATGACCCCAGTGCAAAATTCATTATAAAAAGTATTTATTTTCTGTTTATGTTTTCTCCTGAGCAGTAAACTGCCTAATTCAGTTTAAAAACTAGCATAAACAATAGTTCAGATATAACTTATAGGTAAATCTAATTAAGTTACTAAAGAGTTCCATTAAGACCAAGAACCCACTTTGGGGAAGTGCCTTATCAATTAAAAAACATGTTAATGCTACCTAGTAAGTGTAGGAAAGGATTCTTAGAAATAACATTAATTAATTCCATGGCAAGATGTGGATTCTGTGTAGGTAGTGGCCTGGTATGGCCCTTAACTCACCATCCAATGTAAAACATTTCACTCAAGACGCAGTAGGTTCAGCACATTGATGCCATGACTTAAAGTCATGTTTTTGCCTTCAGTTTTGAGACTCTCATACACTGCCTGTTATAGTTTCATTTATTCCCACAGCATTTTTCATCTTGTCACCTAGTTTGTTTTATTTTTTGTTTACCTGTGTTTCTTGTTCCCCACAATAATATGCAAACTCCACAAGGTAAGGATGCTTTTCTTTTATTTTTTTAATGTATCACCAAACACTTAAAATAGTCCTGGGCGCAACTAGGGTCAGGATAAATGCTGTGAAGTTCAGTAAATGTTGTGACCAGAAGATATTCAGCTGTCATTAATTCATGACTTGTTTTCTATGAATAAAATGATTGAGCAATCTATTAAAGCCTCAGTTGAGTTTCTAAACACAAATATTTCCAGATGTGTTTCACCTGAGCCTCCTTGAGCCACTTCATTGGGGAAGGGCAGCCAACATGCAAACCTCACTCAGGGGCAAACACAGAGGCTCTTGAAGGAAGGGGAAACTGGTATTAAAATTCAAGTTACATTCCATGAAACTTCTTGCCATCCCTAATAAAGCATTTAATCAGGTACCTATAACCTAGGTGAGGGGCTATATTCAGACCTTTGGGCATCACTGGAAAGTGACTGTGGGATTTCTCCCTCCCCACCCCCAGCCTCCTGTATTCAGGCTCTGTTGCCGGTGATCGGCACTGACCCAGGTAGCACGGGAATACTTGGCTAGTAAATGATGAGACTCCTCCACGAGACCCGGTGAGAGCGGGAGGATAGCACGGTAGCAGAGCGGCAGGAGGCGGTGCGGGGAGGCCCAGGGCGCAGAGCACAGCAGTGTCGGGTCGTGGCCGCCAGAACATACACAGCGGCAGCCACGCAGCCACCTGAGCGGCGCCTTTTTTTCTCTGCGGGTCCCTCTAATCCTTCGCCTCTGCTCCTCTCATGCCCCATCAGGCCGCTGGCCGTGCCAGGCCGACAAAAAGAGCACAAGGGCGCCGATCGCCCTTCGGGGACTTGCATCGGGCTCTGAGGGCTGCAGGGCTCCTCTGCCCTGCTCTCCTGGCGCTAAGGGCGCTGAGCGTGGGCCCCGCCCCAGTAGGGCCCCCATGGCGCCAAGCAGAGCCGCCCCTCCAATACTACCCGGCATACCTGCCTACTCTGGCTCTGATCTACGTCCAAGAGTGGCGGAGGGGCCCCTGGGGCTGGGGGCGCAGGGGGCGAGGGTAGTTTCCGTGCCTGGAGCGCGCAACGCCCCGCCCCAGCCACTGTCTGGGTGGGGCGGCGTCATGAGCATCTCCAACAGCAGCAGTGGCCCATGTGGCTCTCAGGACTCCGTGCACAGCGGCCCCAAGGCTGGCAGCTGAATGGACCAGCCTGCTGGCAGAAACCCGGAGGAACAGGTCTGGTGATAAGCTCCTTACCAGCGGACTTCCCACTACACACGTGTATGTGGAGATTTTAAGTGCTCCGTATGCTCAGGGTACACATTGTACCCTCAGAGGACATGGATGTGCATTTTGTAATGTGTTTAACAAAGCCAAGAATAACCTGAGGATGGACCCAGTCAAGATGTTGGGGAATATGCTATGCATATGGTGGTCTCAACTGGGCTGGACTGAATTGTATATCATTATATCATGCTGGGTAGTCTCTTCACAATTAAAAAAAAAAAAATCCCAATCTGGGCCAGCTGGGTGGTATGGTGGTTAGAGCAGTTGAATCCCACATGGCCAACTACAAAGTTCCAGTCCCAAACTTGGCACCTTGAAAGACATGCCAGGCCCATGTGTGTGCGTGCCCAAAATTCCAAAAGGAGAATGAAGGAGAAAGGACTGCAGTGTGGCTATACCCCTTGGGGTTGCTTTCTCTCTTTCTCTCTCACTCTGTCTCTCTCTGGTGAGCACAGGTGCCCTATAGCAAATTTTTTTTTTAAAGATAAGGTTTTTAGAAACAATCTGAGGGGATTTTAAACAGTTTGTGGAATTACAGGATTAAAGTACAAGTTTATTTTGGTGCAAAAACATTTTAAATGCATACATAGTTTTTTCATAGGACACATTTTTCATGAATTTTTTGGCCCTCATTTCTTTCTTTTTTTACAGAGAGAGATTTTTGCTATAGGGCGTGTGCACTCACTGGAGAGACAAAGAGAGACACAGAGAAAGTGAGAAATCATCCGGGGGGGGGGGGATGATTATGCCACAATCCCTTCTCCTCCATTCTCCTGAGATTTTGCGCACACACATGCCCAGCGTGAGTTTCAAGTCACTGGGTCCAGGACTCGAACTGCAGTCAGCTATGTGGAAGTCCAGCAGCACAACTACTATACCACCCGCTGGCCTCAGCCCTTGTTTCTTTTATTGGTTGAATAATTATCCATCGACTAGATGGATAAGGAGGAACTGACACCCTCATACACTGCTAATGGGAATGTAAATTGGTACATTTTGAAAAATGGCTTGGCAGTTTATTAATAAAGTGAATATATATACACCCTAGGACCCAACCACTGCACTCCTGTGCTGCTGCCGTGCTGCTAATGGTCTTCTTTGTCACCTGAGTGGTGGTTATAAGAATGCTCACTTTGTAATGATTCACTGAGCTGTACACTAAATATCTGAACATTTTTCCTGTTCATATGTCATGCTTCCATAAAGGTTTCTTTTATAATGCATATGAAAAATAATTTCCTATGACCATGAGGCTCTGAGTGTTCATGTGTTTCTTCTGATTATATTATTACAATTATCAAACACTATTGATCAAAAATACTATAAATTTGAATAACTATAAATGAAAAGTAAAAATTTATTGAAGATCATACAAAGAATGATATAATTATTAGTTTTTTTTAAGGTTTTTGCCACAGGAATGTATGGAATATAATTCAGCTATAAACTCCTATGGGGGGGGTCATGTGCTTGTAAAAGAGTCAGAGAAAAAGTAAGAAATCACCCCCAAAATCACAGGGAGACAGTAAACTATGAGGCTATGCACCATGGGAAGACCAAGGCAGGCAAGAGTGGTGGAAGTAGTGGGTAGTGAAGGAGAGGAGGAAAAGGAAAATCTCCCTCAAGGTTTCCCTTAGACCAGTTTTAGGAAAAAGAACATATGGAACTAATGATTCAAAATTGGATTCCCATAAAACTCTCCATGCCCATTTCCCTCTGGAAAGTCTGCACATTCTCAAGCACAAACAACCCTTGTTTTGAAGAAAACTGACTCAGGCCTCTTCCAGAGTTAGTCCGCTGAATCTCCAGAGGTCTCTCTGGGCCTCAAGGGCCTGAGCTATTGCTGACTTGCAGGGATGGGGGAGCTGAAGGCCACAGAGGTAAGAACCCACCTAAACTGCTAGAAGGAGCCCCCAGTTTCTCAGAGGACTTTAGGCAGGCCTGGGAAACCATGTTGTCATTGTCAAGAGCAGCTCTGGGGCAAGAATTAGACACATTCAGAGAAAAGTGAATCTCTCTGGAGAGAAGTAGGCCCCTATACTTCCTTGCTATCTCATTTTAGGCTTTTCCATGACCCTTGCCAACGTTACTTCCCAGAGGGGACAGGGTGCCTGGCAGGCTCAGTTGTACAAGGCCAACAGGCAGGCAGGACAGTGGAGGAGACACACCAGGAAAGAGAAAAATCTGTTTACAGAGAGGTGATTTAGTCAGTTCAGCTCCAGAGGCAACCAAGGTCGCTGTAGTGTAGCCATCTTCAGAGTTGGTGACTGATGTGCCAGATGGCAGAGGTGCTGGTGTAAGAGCATCGCCTGAGCTCCCTACTCAGGGAGACCCATAGCCGATGCAGGCCTATTGTCCAGATTACAGTGAGGGGAGCAGGCATGCTGGCAGTCCAGAGATACAAAACAGTGAGCTTAAGGAGACAGACACTGGCACCATCGGAACTGACAGAAGTGGAGATTTTGTACCCACACTTATTAATTTTGCCATAGGGTGCATGCACTCACCAGAGAGACAGAAAGCAAGAAATCGCCCCTCAGGGGGGCAATCCCTTCTCCTCCATTCTCTTCTCAGGATTCTAGGCACACATGCACATGTGCTTGGTGTGAGTTTTAAGCTAACAGGTCCAAGACTTGAACCACAGTGGACTACGTGGAAGTCCAGCGACGTAACCATTATGCCATATGCTGGCTCCCACACTTAATTATTGATGCAGATTTGCCAACTAATGGGAAGCAGTGCAAATTAAGTTCATATTTAACTCTAAAGTTGTCAAGGCCCACATATTCAGGGAGTTTATATAAATAGCCAGTACCTGGCCTGCCTTTGATAGTTACTTAGCTTCTAGTGAAACTTCTGCCTCGAGCAGAAGGTACACGAAAGTAGTAATAGGACAGTAGCTATAGGACAGTGAGGTTGCTGGAGCTTCAGCACACATGAGACCTTGTTAGAAATGCCAATTTTCTGCCCCTACTCCAGACCAACTTAAGTAAAAACTCCGGGCGTGGTGTCCAGCCTTTTGAGTTTAAACAAAATTTGAGATTTAAATGCAATTCTAAGAGAAAAGGACAATTAATGTGGGTGAGTTTTGGGGATGTATATGGAAGAAATACAATGTGATGTTGAAGGAAAGATTTGGACATGTTGGGAGGCCATATTGGGGCTAAAAGCAAAGTTTAGCCAAAGACAGATTAACAGCCTCATTTGTCATCAGGCATGTGTGAGCTGGAAGAGAGGAGAGAGGTCAGCTGTCATCTGGGGCATGGTGAAGCAGGGCCTTGAAGCCAAAGTAGGGAGTGAGACTAGAAGCATGTAAGAACTAGGGAGCTGTTGAAGCTTTAAGAACACTGGAACACTTGTAACACTGGCATGAGGACCATGGAATTTGAGAAAAACTAATGACTGTAGCAAAGAAATGTGGAGGTGGAGTAATTTGAGGAGTCTGTCTCTCAGGTACATGCTACTTTGGTTCAGCTTTTCCTGTGACTCTTCTTCCTGAAAATGGCCAGAGAAGGAATGGTTTCTCCATCCGAGTCAGAGATGAGTGCTTTCTGAGCACATGATACCACCTGTTAATAGAACTCATTCTTAAACAGTCTAGGTGTGGAAACCCTATTAAGAGGATAGCCTGAGAGAATAGGCTTGAGCCTTTCCAAGAACAAAATACTCCCAGACCATCCTAAAAAGGGATTCCTGGCCTTACAGGAGATAGCCAAGATACCACTTGCACCAGTCCCCAACATGGAGATGCACCCACATATGTAGTTCTTTCACTCTTTCACATACTGTTCAATGGGGCATGAGGTAAAGAAGAAAAACCAGAATAATTCCCTTAATGAAACCTGGGGGCCCTTGAGGGAGGCTTGGGAATGGGCAGATAGATACATGGGTACTACCTGAAGAGTCACTCTTTTCTCTTTAAGGAAGAGCTAACAGATTCATTAGTTTGAGGATGCACCTAATAATGTTAATACTATCCACAAAAATTCCACCTCTATCCAGCACCTGCTCCATTTTCAGGTTTCTCAGGTTGAGATTTTCTACTGAATTTTGGTTGTTACTAAAGAGCAGTGTATCTAGCTGATGAGGATATTCTCTTACTGTTTTATGATGACTAGAAGGGAACATCTCTAGGAAAGAATGTCATTCCAGAAGGATACCTTTCTGGCCATCATTAACAGGCCTAAAAATCAGCTGGAAATGATGGAAGTTCTATTAAGGATGCTTGAAATTTGGACGAGTAAACAAAGTTTATGTTCTTTTTTAAGTAACAAACTGAAAAATGAAGAATGTTCCAAATGTTTATGGGACATCTACTGTGGCCATTGTCAGACATGCCAAGAGGAAGAAGGTAGTAGAGAAGTGTATGTCTCACTTAATACTCACAGTAGCCCTGAGAAGTAGGAATTATTATCCCCATTTTACAAATCTGAAAACGGGCTTAGGAAGGTCCCTTGGTGGAAAAACATCTGAAGGCATCTAGTCCAAGAAGTGAACATCAGTCATTTCTGATTGATTTGGTAACATAGAGATTTTGTTTAATGTTCTAATTTAATATGAGACATGTTATTGTCATTAGAAAGTAAAATTTTATGAAATACTGAATGAATATATAGAAGCCTTAGCCAACATTATTAAACCAGTATTTGGTAGGCATAAGATACAAATTGATGTCTTCTAACTTCCTTTGACATCACATTATTTTTTTCCTAAAAGATAATCATTTGGGGACCAGCAGATGGCATAATGGTTATGCTACTAGACTCCCACGTGGTCGACCATGGTTCAAGTTCCAGACCCAGCAGCTTCAAACTCACAGTGTGTGTGTGTGCCCACAATTCCGAGAGGAGAATGGAGGAGAAGGGATTGCACTGTGGCCATCCACCCTGGGGGGTGATTTCTCACTATCTCTCTGTCTCTGTCTCTCCAGCAAGCATATGCTCTCTATAGCAAAAATCACTCTGAGGAGAAAAAGAAAAAGAAGAAAAAGAAAAAGAAAAAGAAAATCACTTGGGCCAAAAAGGGAAAAGGGAGAAACCCACAACATGAGAAAAACTTTCCAGCTGATCTGGCTCTGACTAGGGCAATCACTCTAAGACACATGCCTTACTTTAGCCTCATACTTCTGCATGTTCCCCATGGTTATCAGTTGCATACCAAGGCTAAGAGGCCATGGGGCTCTCTCCTTGCTTTTCTCGATAAATCCATTTTGTGAATTTCCAGACCTTCCCACAGAGTGTACAGGTTTATAGGGTTGTGGCTGAACAGCCATTTGGGTCTCCTTTCGGGCCCTGGGGCAGTATAGCACCAATTTGAAAGCCTCCAGTCCATATAATGAAAGTTTAAAAAAGGCTGTTCACCAATGCCCTATGCTTTCTACAAAGATGTAGATACCTGGATGAGGGGATCAGACTCAAAGCATATAGAATCAAATGCTTCCTCCAGCATTTCAGTCTATATGCTTGTGTTGAGGATAATCAAAAGGAGAGATATAAATGTTGACAAGGTCAGTAGGAGTGTGTTGGCATTCAGGCCTCCCTTCTTGCTTGGAGTTCCTTGACAGAAGACATTGTGGCAGTGCATACTTAGGCGAGAGGCAACTACAATGAGGGTGCTTCTCACAGGGAAAATACTGCATCCTGACTTTCTGTTCCAGAGTAAAGTTCCCTAAACCCTGGGTTTGGTTGTCCATACAGACATAATGACAGCTGTTGAAAACTATCCCTAATTTAGTAATGCTTTCTGAATTCCCTTCAGAGGACCTAAATACTCCCATTTTCCACCTCTCCTAAGAAAAGAATGAAGAACGAGAGCAGTAATCATGTCTATCATATACTTGTTGAGCATCTGATACCTGAAGAATTTAGATCACTGAGAATGAGGATTGAGTAACTAGATAGACAGACAGATACAGGTATCTGATAGCTATATTTTCATCTTTTTATTTATAAAGTAGTCACGTATCAGTCTTGTAACAGGAACTGAAGATAAAATACCAATTAACAAAGACGGCTTAGATTCCTTTCTGTGACTCATGATATGTACCCATCCGAAATTTTCTATTGGTGACAGATTCCTATCTTTGGGTGCCTCATAATTTTGTACTCTTTCTTAGTTTCTAGGGTCAATTTTCATAGTAAGTCTCCTCAGACTGGAGACACTGGACATGCTTCCCTGTGGAGTTTCTGGTGTCTAAGAAGGCTTGACCGCCTACTAAAATTTCTCCTGCATATGCTACAAGTAAAAGGCTGCTCACCTGTGTGGGTTCTCTGGTGTTTAATAAGGTGGGAGTTCTGGATGAATCTTTTCCCACACTCCTGACATTTAAAGGGCTTCTCTCCTGTGTGAATTCTTTGGTGTGTATGTAGATTTGTGTTATGACTGAAGCTTTTCCCACACCATGAGCATCTATATGGTTTTATTCCTTGGTGTGTCATGAAATGCTTATTAAGATCTGAACTCCACCTAAACCTCCTATCACACTGTTGACATTTATACGGTTTCTCTTCTGTGTGAATTCTCTGGTGCTTAATAAGGTCAGAGCTAACTCTGAAGCTTTTCTCACACTCCTGACATTTAAAAGGTTTTTCTCCTGTGTGGCCTTTCCTGTGAGGATCTGTGAATTTCAGAAGTTCTTGTTTGCAAGATGAAGGCTTCTTTCTTTTCTTCCTTGGAAAAGCCTGATGCTGTTTCTGTATGTTGTATGAATCATCATGATTTTCCTTGCCTGTTGTTTTCTTGACAACTTTCATTCTGGTCTTTTTTGATACTTTGCATCCCGGTGCTTGTATTTTTGATGCAGAAACAGAAATAGGCTGATCATTTCTAGTGTCATTTTTGAGCTTTAATCCTGTTAGAACAAACAGAAGAATCAGCTATTTGTGTCCTAAAGCAAGAAAACTACAAGAACAAAGAGAAAAGTCAATGATTACTGCTTTTAAAAAACACGGGAACAAGGCAACCAGTGGTGTGATGGTTAAGGCGGCTGGATTTCATGTAGCCATTTGAGTGGTTCAAGTCCTGGACCTGGTGGATTGAGAAACATGCCAGGCACATGTGCATGCATGTCCAAAATTCCAAGAGGAAAATGGAGGGAAAGGGATTGTGGCATGGCCACTGTCCCAAGGGGTGATTTCTCACTTTCTCTCTCTGTCTGTTGACTACAAATGTGTTATAGCCAAAAAAAAAAAAAAAAGAAAAGAAAGAAAGAAAAGAAGAAAAACTAGTATAGTCCAGACAAAATGGCATAGACCCACTTCTCATAGGTCCTCCCTGCTAAGCACAAGAATAAAACCATTTAATAATGTAAGAGATGACCAAAAGAAAATTCTAAAAAGTGTTAAGATGGCAAACTAGTCTAGGATCTGAGGACTGAATAAATAACATGGCACTCAACAGAACAAAAAAACTCAGATCCAAGGTTTTCTTTCCAACCCTCAATTTAACAACAGAAGGATGCCTAGGTAGGCCCATTCTTCCTCCCACCTGAATGGAAAATCCTCTAATAATATAAGGTAAACCTGACATAACTAGAAAAGGAGATCAGCTTGTAGTTCTGTCAATAGTAAGTAGCCAAATGAGGTACTTGCCTTCCATACTAGGCTGGAGACTCTCTTCTACCCTGGCTAAGAGATACTAAGGTGTACAAGCAGAAATGGCAACATAAACCCAGACACATCAAGGGGAATGTTTGTGGATGAGAAGTCTCTTTTTTTTGGAAGGGAGAAGTTTTTTGCTACAGGGTGCGTGCACTCGCCAGAAAGACAGAGAGAGAGAGAGAGAAAGAAATCACCCCCCAGGGGTGATGGCCACACCACAATCCCTTCTCCTTCATTCTCCTCTCGGGATCTTGCACATGCGCCCAGCGTGAGTTTAAGCCATGGGGTTTGGGACTCGAACTGTGGTCAGCTACATGGGAGCCCAGCGACATAGGCATTATGCCAACTGCTGGTCCCAAGAAGCCTCTTTAATACTATAAATATGAGGGACCAGCAGATACCATAAAGGTTATGTCACTGGAATCCCACGTAGGCAAATACTGTTAGAGCCCCAGATCTGGCGGCTCAAAACTCACACTGGGCACATGTGCGTGCATGCCCAAAATCCCCAGAGAAGAGTGGAAGAGAAGGAATTGTGATGTGGCCATCCCCCCTGAGGAGTGATTTCTCGCTTTCTATTTCTCTCTGTCTCTCCAGTAAGCGCACGTGTGCTATAGCAAAAATTCTCTCTAAAAAAGGAAAAGAAAGAAAAAAGATAATATCCTCCAACCAGTAGATGTCGAAAAATTATTTGTCAAAATCCCATACTCATTCACGATAAGCACACTCATAAAGTTAGAAATCATATTAACTTGGTAAGAATATCAATGAAAAACTCAGTGCTAACATCATAAGTAATGGTAAAAGACTGAATGCTTTCACACTAAAATTGGAACAAGGCAAGAGGTCTGCTCTTACTACTCTTATTCAACATAGTACTAAGTTGGATCTAATGAAAGAACAAGAAATAAAAGCACTATGGCTGATATGATTACCTATGTAGAAAATCCTAAGGAATGTACAAAAAAAATTCTTAGAGTAAGTGAGTTCAGTACGATCACAGGATTCGAGATCCCAACACATTAATGACAGTCCTATATAAAACCAATGAACTGGTCAGCTGGTGGTATGCTGGTTAAGGCAACTAGATCCCACATGGCCAACTATGTGATTCAAGTCCCAGATCTAGCAGTTTGAAAAACACACTGGATGTGTAAGTATGTGTGCCCAAAATTTTGAGAGGAGAATGGAGAAGTGGTTGTGATGTGGCTGTCCCCCCTGGAGAAGGTTCTTTGTCATTCATCTGCCCTTCTCTCTTTTTCTCTCTGTCTCTCTGGGGAATACATATGCCTTGTAGCGAATATTTTTTCTAACATGTAGAAACCAAAATGAAAAGTAATACCATTTACAAGTACTCCAATGAAAATGAAACACGTGGGCATATATTTAACAAAACATGTAAGGATATCTGTACACATAAAATCACAAAATGTTGAGAGAAATCAAAGACCTAAATAAGTGAGAGACATACTGCATCCATTTATTGAAAGAACGAACACAGTAAAGATGCCAGTCCTTCTCATGCTAATGTATAGGTTTAGTGCAATTTCTGGCAAAATCCAACAAAGTTAATTATAGATGTAGATAAGTTTATCTAAAACTTACATGGAATAGTAGAGGCCCTAAATTAGCTAAAGAGCCTCAACGAGGAATAATGAAATGGGAAGAATCATTCTAGCTGATAGAAGTTAACGCTTATCACATACTCACAGTAGTCAAGACAGCACAATATTTTTTTTTGAGAGGTATTTTTGTTTTGTTTTGTTTTTTGCTATAGGGCATGTGTGCTTGCCAGAAAGACAGAGAGAGACAGAGAGATGGAGAACGAGAAATCACCCTCCCAGCAGGGATGGCCACACTGCAATCCCTTCTCTTCCATTCTCCTCTCGGGATCTTAGGCACACACACACACACACACACACACACACACACCC